GAGGGCGGGAAGACGGGGTCTTGTGCAGCGTGTTCAGGAGCACCGCGTGAAGACGACGGGTGGGAGTACAGTGGGAGTACAGTGAGATTACAGCGGAAGGCAGCGGAAGGCAGCGGAGCACGTGTTCTCTCGAGTGCTGGTTGGGGTACAGGAATACGTAGTCAAGCATCTAGGGTCCGAAGCCGGCGCGGAGACGACTTGGCCGGCGGACGGCTCCGGCGCGCCCCCGGCCTGCGCGCTGTCTGCGGCCGGCGGCGCCTCGCCAAAGGACAGCGAGTCGGCGGCCGGAGGCTCGTCGAAAGGAAGGGGTGCCTCGGGCGGCGGGTGAGGCGCCGGCTCCGGCTCGGCCTGCTGGGCGGGCTCGGCTTGCTGCGGCTCGGCCTCGGGCTGTGCCGCGCCGGGCGGCGGCTCCCAGGAGGACTCGCCCGTCAGCGTGTTGTACCAGTACGCCTCCCCCTCTGCCGTGGTCTCCTGCACCCACTCCCCCTGCGGCGCCTCGCCCTCCGCCGCGTACCCCTCCTGCGGGTACTCGCCGCTGCCCGCGTACCCCTCCTGCGGGTACCCCTCCTGCGGGTACCCCTCCTGCGGGTACCCCTCCTGCGGGTACCCCTCCTGCGGGTACCCCTCCTGCGCGTACCCCTCCTGCGGGTACCCCTCCTGCGGGTACCCCTCCGCCGCATACCCCTCCTGCGCCGCGTGGGCGAGAGGCTCCGCGAGCGCCGCCGACCCCTCAGAGTACCCGTCCGCAGCGGCGGGGTACCCTCCTCCGTCAGCGAGCTGCCCCTCGCCGGCGGCGGGGTAGCTCTCCCCCGCGCCCTCCGTCGCCCCGCCGCCCGCGCCGAGCTGCTCGTGCAGCTGCCGCAGCCGCGCGTCAAAGCCGTCCGGCAGCGGGCCGCCGAGAGCCCTCCGCCGCTCGAGTTCGTCGGCATACCTAAGGTAAGGTAAGGTAAACTTCTCCACACACACGAGGTGGTGGGGCAAGGGGGGGCAACCCTCGCGTCTCCACGTCTAACGACAGGAGCCCCACGGCATTTAAAGTGCAAGGCCCGGTGCGCGTGGGTGAGCGGTGTGTGTGTGTGTGTGTGTGTGTGTGTGTGTGTTCAGCATACCTCGCCGCCGCGTCGGCCTCGCCCGCGCCAAGCAGCACGTGCGCGTAGAGCAGCAGGCCCGGCGCGATGCCGGCGTCGTCGAAGTCGGGGTCGAGGGAGGCGCGCGACGCGGCGTACAGCTCGGTGCCCCGGATCGAGTGGAGCGAGGGGAAGCCGCGCGCCGCCTGCCGCTCGTCGTGCCCGAGCAGCTGGAGCCTGCGCCACGAGCGCACGTGAGTGACTCGGGGCGTGCGTACGGCCCCGTGCACCGTGTTCGGAGCACTGATCACAAGGGTTCGGGTTCGGGTTCGGGTTCGGGTTCGGGTTCGGGTTCGGGTTCGGGTTCGGGTTCGGGTTCGGGTTCGGGTTCGGGTGATCACAAGGGACGGCGACGAAGACAGCAGCGTATATGCGTCTCGAGGGCCAGTCTGGAACTCTCGCGTCCTGTCCCACATCTAGCAGCTGGAGCCGCGGCTGCTCTGCGTGCGGCAAGGCGCCGTCGGGCAGCGGCAGCGGTGTCTCGGCAAGCAAGTAGCAGCAGTGCGCCGCGCACGCGCCCCAGGAGGCTCGGACCGAGTCTCCCAGCTGGGTGATGACCTCCGTGTCGTCGGTTGTCGGGTTGGCGAGCATCATCGCCTGCGGTGCGCATGTCGTGGACGCGTCGTGCACGCGCGCCGTGGACACGCCATCTACGGCTGGCGAGCAGCGTCGCCAAGTTCTCGGCCCAGCGCGCCGCGAGAGGCGACTCGGTGGCGCCCGACGGGGGCGCGAGCACCTGGCAACAGCCGAGCAGGGTGGTGGTGAGGAGAGGGACGACACGCCGAGCCGCCAGCCGACAGCGGGAGTCGAGCACCCCCGGCCCGCTGCCGGCAAAGAGGGAGTAGAGAGTGGCGAGCGGGCTGCCCGCGACGGACACCTCCGCGGCATACCTCGCCATGACGGTCTTCCACATGGCGGCGTCGATGTGCGAGGAGAGGAGCAGCGCGTCCGCCCACAAGCCGCACCCCATCGCGGGCTCGCAGGCCTCCTCGGGCCGGCCAGCCCGCAGCAGCGCCTACGGGGCCCCGGGACCACGCGTCGCATACGAGCGAAGCCCCTTCTTCCCCCCCCGATTCCCGGGGTAGCCTTCCCGGTCCCTCCCGTTTGACTTGTGGCCGCCGTGTCCGCGCACCCTCTTCTGTTCTGTCCTTCGTTGACCGTACTGGATTCTCCTTTCAGTCGTGGTTGGACTCGCCCTTTCCTTGGGGGACCAGCATCTCGCTCTCTCCTCTTCGTTCCC